TAGGAGCGGCAGGTAACCGAGTCTGAGTGAATGGCCAACAGTGGTCATTCTAGTCAGGCATTTTATGGTGGAGTAAGTGCACCAGTCAGCTGCTCTTGCATTGTCTGTTATATGATGTAGTATTTCGATATTTTGATTTTACGTAACGAAAAATAAGGTTATTGTTTCAGGGCTTCGTTATGCGAAATGGTTCAACAAAATACTAAGTATTCCTATCTGTAGGCCTACTTAAGAACTGTTTTTAAATATCTTTCTGTTTATACTTAGCTGAGGATGAAACCAGACATCATAGCTTTTCATAACATTTTTAAATCTAATTACATTAGAATAGACAATTGAGTTCGTTGAAAATCATAAAAAGTCTGCAGTAAAGTGTCGTTGGTAACAAAATTATTGGTCTGATACTGGATTGTAATCTGTGCCGTCTCAAAATTCAAAAGATTTGATAGGTTGATTATAAATTTTAACAAAAATAATCTCGAATCTAAAATACTCCGTGAAAGTCCGTTTCCCGACGTTTAATCTGTCAAGACGCTTTGCTAAATTGAACATTTCATTGGCAAAAATTACAAGGGTTTGGATTTCCTTGCATCAGAAATCAAATCAAATCTTAGAGATGAAGATGTAGAAATATTTTTAAGATTATATTCGCTTCTATATGCCGACGACACGATTATCATGGCTGAAAGTGAAAAACACCTACAAGTAGCTTTAAACGATGTTTCGGAATATTGCAAACAATGGAACCTGCATATGAATGCATCAAAATCAAAAATAGTTACGTGGTAAGTTGGATCATTCCCTGAATTCAAAATAGGTGATGAAAACGTAGAAGTGGTACTCGACTACAATTACCTAGGCGTAGTATTTTATTACGACGGTTTATTCAACAAACAGATAAACAAACAGGTTGTTCAGGCAAAGAGAGCACTTTATGTTTTAAATGTCAAATCCCAAAAACTAATCTTACCTATCGACACGCGATTAGAACTCTTCGAAAAAATAATTACACCAATTTTAATTTATGGAAGTGAAATCTGGGGGTTCTGTAATTCAAACCAAATTGAAAAATTTATAGAAGTTTCCTTAGGAGTTTATTAATAAATACTAGAAATGCTAACTGTATGCTATATGGTGAAACTGGAACTTATCCAATCCAGATTACAATTGATGTCAATATGGTCATGTTTTGTGTCAGATTAACTCAAGGAATGTCAAGTAAAATATCCTATACTATTTTAGCTCTTATTATGCAATTGTATAATAATGACAGTAGTACTAAAGCCTATACATTGGTCACATGGGGATTCCCCATTCCATTTCATTTCACGGGGAAAATGCGACCAATCTATAAGCTCCCCAAAAAGACCTAATCACCCTACATTTCATAAATTCTTACACCTAAACATCCTACATTTCATAAATTCTTTCACTAAAAAAAGACCTAAACCCCCTATAAATACTTACACCCTATACAAACTACATTTCATACACCAAAAACACCTTCAACCAATTTCCTACATTCCATCAAAAAAAAACAAGGATATTAAGAATACCCTTATATAAAAATAACATAACATTTCTTAATAGCCTAGTTTTAAAATAATGTAGAAGGGAGATAACTCTTTTTTTGGAAACACAATTTCTTCGTTAAATTAACTCATTTAAAAATAGGATGAGTTTAATTCTAAAGGACGAACAACACAGATTCGAAGATTATTCGGGCGACGGTAACTTTTCTTCATTATTTTCTTTAGGTAAAACAATAATTCCAAAAGTAGTTAGCTTTGTTTCAAACAACAAATCACTCATTTCAACCGGAGCGAAAGCCATCGGTTCAATCGCCTAAGCGGGAAAGAGTATAAGCGACACAGTGAAACTATCTAACGAGTTGAAAGAATTAGAGCTAATATGTGAACTGCGAAACAGGAGATTAGAAGAAAGGAAAGGAAAGGGTTTTAAAGTTATAGGATAAAAATGATAGTCGCTCACGCTCCAAAAACTTATTTTGGTTCAGATAAACAAAAAACATTGGGTTCTCTTCCTGGATTTCCATGGGCGAAATATCCCGGAGAAAAACATAATTACACCGGTCCAGGTACCAGGTTAGATCTGCGTTTAGACGAAAACGATAAACCCAAACCCGGCGAAGAACCAGTCAATAGAGTTGACGCCGCGACGCTTAAACACGACATACTATACAGAAATAAAGACATAAACTTCAGACACGAAGCAGACAAATGATAATCGAACTTGAAAATATTCCAAATCCAACTTTCAAAGAGAGAATGCAAAGGGCTCTGATCATAAAACTGTTAAAAGCAAAGATGAAATTGGGTATGGGATTAGCGGATGAAATATACAAAGAATTTAGAAAAACTAAAAACTTTTAAAAAGTTAAAGTGTTTGAAAAAGATGAAATATGGTCAGCCGATTTAATTCATATGCCAGTCGAAAGAGGATTTAAATATTGCTTAACAGTTATAGATTTGTATACGAGATATGCTTGGGTTATTCCTTTGAAAAACAAAACGGGATGATCAGTCAAACACGCATTTGAAACGATTATGAAACAATCTAACCGACAACCAGAAAGACTATGGGTAGATAAAGGAAGTGAATTTTATAACAAAAATATCAAATCTCTGGGATTTGAAATTTACAGCACGCATAATGAAGGTAAAGCTGTAGTAGTAGAAAGATTTAACAGGACTCTAAAAAATATATTATTCAAAAAGTTCACGGAATTGAAATCCCAAAAATGGCTTAAAATAATACCAGAGGTTGTAGATGAATATAATAATAAAATTTCATTCATCTATATTATAAAGTCAATTAACGCGCAACATAACTACGAAAATGAAATAAAGAATTTAAATATTAAACCCAAATTTAAAGTCGGAGATCGAGTTCGTATTTTCAAATGTAAAAGCAAATTCGAAAAAGGTTACGTTGGATACTGGACAGACGAAATATTCATCGTTGATAAAGTAAACACCACAGCACCTCCGACATATGAATTAATCGATCAAGACAAAGAACAAATTATAGGTAGGTTTTATCAAAACTAACTTCAAAAAACCGACTTTTAAAAATGAATATCTTTCTCGATAAATATGGAACCGATACAACCACAAACTTTCAACTTATGAGATGGGCGAATGAATTAAATATATCACCGTTTTATTATTGTATGAGAGATGAAATAAATGATCTGAAATATAAGGTAAATTTTACGCTATAACAAATATACATACTTCCGATCAAAAAGGAGTTCATCATTCTGCTTTGTACTAATACTCTTCAAATGACTTATATTTCTTCGATTCTTATGGATTAGAACCCACTGAATTGACTAATCAACCAATCAAATGTTCAACATTTCAAATTCAATTACCGGGTCAAAAATTTTTGTGGACAGCTTTCACTTTGGGTTTTATATCAGTTGAGTTTAGAAAAAAACAATTCGAAGAAATTGTAATAAATTTAACTCAATAAAAATGGCGAACAAGTTTGGATTAGGTTCTTTATCTTTTAGAAACTAAAAAACCTAACACTACAGCGTGGATAAATAAAGCGAAACCTTACTTTGTGGATCAAATCGGAGACACTCTTCAAGTGGATTTAGATATGAACAATTTCAAAGTAACTTATTTAAAATCTCCGGAAAACGATAATGACGCTGTTCACAAGAAATATCTACGGGAACAAATAAATTCAATTGAAGTAAATAAAAACCATTTAGAAGATAAAATAAGTAATGTGAAAAGATTCTTCAAACGTCAACTAAATAATAAAAATGTTGTTAATGAAACTAAACTACAACAAGAGGTAAGATAGCATGCCAGGCAAGGTAATATACGTCCACTGATAGCTTTGTTTGAAATTGAATATTTGTTAGAAAATAGCAAACATAGTTAAAAATCAAATACATTTGTAAGAATAACGGCAATACTTTGTATTTTAAATTTCAAAAGGTTTAGTTTCGACTGTGATCAATTTCATCAAGTTGTCAAATTTGTTTTAGACTTCTGCTTTGTAGAATAAAAATTACGTGTTTTACAAGATTTTTGATCAGATTTATCCTTTGGTGATTTCAATAAGTCTGTCATGAATTGTGTATTTGCAGATTATATTCAAGCAAATTAGGTTGAAATATATTTTTAAAAGTTTTATGTATCGAGTTTATGACAGGTGGGAGTTGCTAATATTAACCACCTTTTTTCTCCTGTTGAATTTAATCTTTTTATATCCTTACATTTTTTTTCTCGAAGATTTGATTAGTTTGCATGAAATGCAATGGATTTGTAAGTATACTTGATTGCAGCTGTCTTGGCTAATAAGGACAAGAAAAGAATTGAATTTTACTATTATGACAGTTTATCCATTAGCAATAATTCTATAAGTAATTACTGCTCAATGTGCCACATGAATAAGAAAAAATGTGATAAATTAACAAAGTTTTAATTCAAATAATAAAATAAACTAAAATAAATGCAAAGCACTGTGTAAAAACAACAGTTATGAAAATTATAATATGTACACTAACACAAATCTATGAAATATACTTATGATCATGCGACTACTTAGGACTGGGCAAAAATAATCAATATATAATTTTGATTATCGAATTTTGTAAATGATTAAAAGTCAGTTAAATTTGTTTTTTTCAACATGATCTGCTACATGGTAATTGGACAAGTCACATCAGATTATATGTGATGATTATACATTTTAGAAATTCTATGAACCAGATATCAATAAATGACAAATTTATACAATATCAATACAATATCAATAGACGGAAATCAGAAGATTTCTTCATTAAAATTTTTGATCAGTAGCCTGTTTTCAATAATCGATTTCAATTTGGTAATTGATTCTTGACCTCAGTTTATTGTCAAAGTTGAAGTTGAAATGTTCGAAATGTAATCATATAATTCAATTTGTTAAAAAAGCTACTTAATATCAACCTCTCAAGAATCAGACCAATATCAAGTTGTGTATCTCCAAAAACCTTTTTGTGAAAAAGAATTTAGTCACTAAACACTCAAGCTGAATTAAAATCACATGAATAATGCTGTAGATTGATTAGTAATGATTAGAATTGAAGCGCAAAGAGAATCAAAATAATTGGAATGTATTGAAAATGGTAATATACAAAAAGAATTACTAGTTATTTTCTAGCACTTGTTGACATAAAATCGAGAAATACTTTGAAATGAATTTTTACAGCAAGTACACATTGTTTTTTGTATCAGCACAATTGGTGAAAATGAAATGATTAAGCAAACCTTTTCTCTTGAATGACATTTATAAAATGAAATCAGATAAACTGCTGCATCTTGGGATGTCACATGACTAAGCTATGATTGGATATCTGTCTTGGATTTTCCACTTGGTCTATTTATAGTATCTTATGATGCTGTACATGTATGGTGGCTGGTTAGGGACATGTTAAATGATTAAATTAAATATTCTTATTTGTTAACCAAAATAGTTTCTCAGGAAAATAATGACATCTATTGTAAATTGTGATTATGAACAAAAAAATTGTGACTTGTAGAGTCTGTCAAGAATTGTGCCTCCTAGAGTGTTTACGAGCTAAAAATTGAACGCGTTTTCAAGAACAAGGGCAATAATTCATAAATAGGGTCTATCCTTGGTTGATAACGAACACTCATACCAAGTTTCGTCAAAATCCTTCAAGAATTGTGCCTTCTAGAGTGTTTATGGGCTAAAAATTGAATGCGTTTTCAAGAACAACGGCAATAATTCATACTAAATATTTTTCGATTTCGCTGATTTTCAATAGGGTTTATCCTTGGGTGATTACGAACACTCATACCAAGTTTCGTTAAAATCCTTCAAGAATTATGCCTTCTAGAGTTTTTACGAGCTAAAAATTGAACGCGTTTTCTAGAACAAGGGCAATAATTCATACTTAATATTTTTCGATTTCGCTGATTTTCAATAGGGTCTATCCTTGGGTGATAACGAACACTCATACCAAGTTTCGTCAAAATCTGTCAAGAATTGTGCCTTCTAGAGTGTTTACGAGCTAACAATTGAACGCGTTTGCAAGAACAAGGGCAATAATTCATACTAAATATTTTTCAATTTCGCTGATTTTCAATAGGGTTTATCCTTGGGTGATTACGAACACTCATACCAAGTTTCGTTAAAATCCTTCAAGAATTATGCCTTCTAGAGTGTTTACGAGCTAAAAATAGGACACGTTTTCAAGAACAAGGGCAATAATTCATACTTAATATTTTTCGATTTCGCTGATTTTCAATAGGGACTATCCTTGGGTGATAACGAACACTCATGCCAAGTTTCGTCAAAATCTGTCAAGAATTGTGCCTTCTAGAGTGTTTACGAGCTAAAAATTGAACGCGTTTGCAAGAACAAGGGCAATAATTCATACTAAATATTTTTCGATTTCGCTGATTTTCAATAGGGTTTATCCTTGGGTGATTACAAACACTCATACCAAGTTTCGTCAAAATCTGTCAAGAATTGTGCCTTCTAGAGTGTTTACGAGCTAAAACTTAACAAGGGCAATAATTCATACTAAATATTTTTCGATTTCGCTGATTTTCAATAGGGTTTATCCTTGGGTGATTGCGAACACACATACTAAGTTTCGTTAAAATCCGTCAAGAATTGTGCCCTGTAGAGTGTTTACGAGCAATTGTGGACGGACGGACGGACCGACGGACATGGGTGACGACAATATACGCCCCCCATTTCAGGTGGGCGTATAAAAAGGTTTAATAAATTTTATTCAAAAAGAATTGGTCAACGTAGTGAACAAAACTGAGTTACAAAATTTAATTTCATTAATATCTAAATTAGAGGATAAGATTGCAAAACAAAAATTAGACATTCAACAATTAATAGATAAAATTCCAGATGAAAATGAAGATACGTTTCAACAGGAATTAAATGCTCTGGAAACTAAACTTAACAGTGAATTACAAAAAGAACTAAGAAATATTCAACAACAAATACAAAACAGAGATGATAGCAAAATCAAAACCTATATTCAACAACAAATACAAAATATTGATGATAATGAAATTAAAACCTATATTCAACAACAAATACAGAACATTGATGATAGTGTTATTCAACAACAGTTAACCACTATTAATAACCTAGTTTTGAAACAAGACAAAAATATAGTCGCATTAGAAAAACAATTCAAGCAAGAATATAAAGCATATTATTTTACTCTTCCATTTGGAAGTTTGAGTGATAAAGATGCTTCTGTTACTGACAATATTGATAGGTCAAAAGACTATGAATATAAAAAATATGGATTCACAGCAAATATTAGAGTATATTCTCCAAAATTAACCTCCCCCTTTAAAATATTTAATTCTCAATTTCTTTTTTTTGAAAAAATTTTAATTGAAATTATTTTTCCTATACAGGTAAAAGTTGATTCATTATAACTCACACAACGATCACCATCATATAATAAATTTAACACTCGTAAAGTTCTTCAGTTTATCAATGGTAGAGACAATGTAGAAATTAAAGAATATGAAAGTAACGACGAAAACAACAAGGTTGATCAATTATATGAAATTAAAACGAGTGGAAAATATATAGATAAAAAAAATGATATTTTTACATTAAATGATATTGGAAACGGAAACTCTACCATCAATGAATATCATTAGAAATCCAGAACTAAAAAAAGTAAGAAACAATTTTCAGTTTTTACGAGCAACAGACTTCGAATACGTTAAACTATATTTTGTTACTAAAAGTTTTTCACACGAAGATAGCTCTTCAACTGATTTATTTACCTCAATTGATATTCATAAAAGTCAACAAGGAAAACAATTTATAATATTTTCATCAATAATTGAACGTAATGATGGAATAGAAGTTGGAGGTATATATACCTGTAGATGTATGATAAGAATCAATATCGAACAACCAAAATTTTCAGTTCATCTAAGATTAATGATTCGAAAGAACAAATTTCCTTAGTAAGTGTAATAGTTGTTTTCATTAATCCTGAAATAATTATAACAGATAATGAACGTCTTTATGGGCAACCTATTGTTGATCTTAAACACTTTTCATCTTTTGGTTTATAAGAAATTCATTTAATTTAATTACCTAAAAAATGGAACTAGAAAGCAGACAAAACTACATGATAGAAAAACAAAACGAACTAAAAGAGAAACTAAAACAATTCAAGAAATGTAGACAAACATGGAGTAGAATTGATTCTGTTTTCAAAACATTAAGCACAGTTCTAACAGTAGGGATAACGGTGGCAACAACCGTAACCGGTGGAATAATGCTTCCAATAATTGTCCCAACTGTATTAGCCGCGTTCACTGCCGTTCAAACTTCATCTTGTGGTTTGATTACTTTAGGTTTTACATCAAAACAGAAAGCTCATTATAAAAAGAAAACAGAAATTTTAAATACATATCTTAATAAATTATTCTTTTTTTCGAAAGATCGAGAGAAGATAAGAACATAACCATTGAAGAAATAGAAAAATTGAAACTGCTCTAAGTGCGTTAATCGTGTTTTAAACGAAGACTACACGAGAGAATTTCAAGATTTCATCAACAGTTTTTCAAAATCAAACAGAAAAGGAGTTATGACAACTGCTAGAATCTGTGAATTCAATAAGAAATTTAATACTAATTTTCAAATTTATATGCCCAATCATAGACATTTTCAACCAAAGAAAGTATCCGAGGAATAAGATTGAGTATTTTACTTACATAAATCACATTTCTGTCTCATTAGAAGAAATAACAAAACCTTACGCATTACAGAAATAGCAGATAATTACGATGAAAACGTATGGAGAATTTGTAGAGATGATAATGCGATAAAGCAAGTTTCACCTCTAGAACTAAACGTTTTTCCAACCATTCACGATGATTGTTTATACGCATGGGATTGCGAAACCTATAGCGAAAAAAAAGCCATTCCTTATTCTTGCACGTTAATCAATTTAGAAAAACTAAGAAAAATGTTAGACAGAATAAAACATAACTTTCCAGATTTAAATCCTACAGATAATGTTCCAGAAGAATTTTATGATAAACTAATGAATATAGTAGAAATATTTGTGGGTAAAGATTGCATCGATCAAATGTTACAACGTTTAGGAAAAATAGAAAAAAAAGAATAACATTAATTGCTCATAACGCTAGCGGTTTTGATAGCTGGATCATGATCAAAAACGTAAAAAAAACTAACACAATGCCCTTTAAAAACATTCAGAGGAATTCTGTCTCTACCTTTAACTAATTCATTCACCGATGAAGATTTACAGAAAAAATGTATACCAATATCGATAACACTACTGGTTTAACGGCAGTTCGTAAAGCTTTTAATAGAAACCCAGATCCAAACAGACCCGACGATGCAATTCTACAGCTTTTAGAGATTTGTCTTAGTCGAAACGATTTCACATTTAATGATAAAACATATTTACAAACTTCAGGGACAGCAATGGGCAAACGATTCGCCCCTTCGTACGCAAACCTTTTCATGGCAGAGTGGGAACGTGAGGTGTTGCCCCTCTGTCCATTTGACCCACTTTTTTACGGACGCTTTTTGGATGACATTTTTATGGTTTGTACTTATTCTATCGAACAGTTTTGGTAATTCTTTGAAATTCTCAACAACCACCATCCTTCTATCAAACTAACCGCAAACGTGAGTGACAAAAGCATAGACTTTCTCGATACCACAGTCTTTAAGGGAGATTCCATAGCAGAATCAAATAAACTGGATATTAAAGTGTATTTCAAAGAAACTGATACTCATCAACTCTTGCACAAGAGCTCCTTTCACCCAAAACATACCTTTTCTGGTATAATTAAGTCACAAGTTTTACGATTTCATCGAATTTGTACAAGATCTTCTGATTTCAACCAAGCCTGTACGATCGTTTTCTCAAAACTGAAAGAGCGTGGGTACTCTAAACGATTTTTACGAAACATAAAAAATTCCACCTTAGCACAGATAGCAGCTAAAAACAGACTTTATGCCGAAGTACCTCCAGGTTTAAGAAGTGCTCCATGTTTGTCCAGTAGATGCAAAACATGTCCCTTTATATCAGAAACTCATTATTTTGTAAGCAACTCTACGAATAAAAGGTACCCGATCCAGGAACATCTAACATGTGAACATTCGAATGTAATATATTTTATTTCATGCAAGAAATGCCCCAAACAATATGTAGGAGAAACTAAGAATAATTTACGAACTCGCTTTAATGCTCATAGGTCAGACATCAAATTAAAGAAAGACAAGCCTGTTTCTAATCATTTCAACCTCGACGACCATTCAATAGACGATCTCACCCTAATCCCAATTGAGCGTATAGAAATTGACTTGCCCGAAGATGAAACTACCAAATTCCGTCAATCTAGGGAGGCCCATTGGATTGAGACATTGAATACAGCAAGACCTATAGGACTAAATATTCATCATAATGTAGGCATAGCACCCTTTGTTGTCCCGTTTAATACAACCAGCAATCGAGCAAGCAAGATAGTTCATGCCCACTTTAAGAGCCTTCAAGAGAAATTCCCCCATGTCTATAAGCAGAAAATGATAGTTGCATATTCAAAAAATAAGAACTTAAATGATAATATTGTTCATAGTAAACTAAAAACAATCAGTACATAACAGATACTATACTTCTCGCCCACCGGGCGAGTTATTTTTTCTAATTTCAGATCAGAATAAGAACAGAAGAAAACCCAATATCAAGACCCTTAATCCTAATTTCTAAATAAAGTGTCTGCTCCACCCTAGGCCTGTACATTTGGGAGAATCAAACCCTCCCTTCCCCGAAATCTAATTATTTGCAAAATATTATTTTCATATGTTCCTATCAACATGAAACATCTAGTGTGGCGGCATGGGGTAATTCATCTAATCTACCAATGAATTTGAGAAAGATCACTGATATCGATATTGCAAAATATACCAAAGATAACTGGGAATTTTTAAGACACGAATGGGAACTTTACGCTAAAAGAGATACGTTATGTCTCGGAGCTTGTTTGATAAAATACAATCAAGCAATGAAAGAAGTTGTATTTCAGAATATTTCCAATAATCTAACGGCTCCTTCTTTATCTTTAAAGGGTTGGTATTATTTATATCATTACGATAAAGAAATGGTTGAAGAAGAATGGTATGAAAGTACTAGAATGGTTCCGATACACACCGAAAAAGAAAACGTAGAAAAAGTTTACTCACATACACACCCTTTTAATCGATATTTTATCAGACAAAGTATTAAAGGTGGAAGAGTTTCGGCAAATTGAAAATCATTTAAAACGAATAAAATGGATAAAATTTGTAATGTATTAAGTGAATACACAGAAACACCAAGTGATAATATAATTGATTTATTCAAAGAATATAGTGCTAACCCAAAAGATAAAACGGAAGTTCATTCGAGACATAAAAAAATTAAAATGTACTAAACTAATGGCATTTGATGCTAACGGTTTATACGCTTCCGCCATGTCGGATTTAGACAGCGAATATTCGAGAGCGGAAAGTGGTAGACCATTTCGACAAGAAGAAAATAAAGAATTTGTTAAGCTCTTTAATGAGCAGAAATTCAGACCTAGAACTGCTATTTTAAAAGTCTGGTTTGAATATCCTACTAACATGTTCTTCCAACCCATACCAGCTAAAGATAAAATCAGTTTTACGAATAGAATAGGTAAAAAGGAAATTGGCATTAAAATCAGGTTCAGAAATGGTTTCGGTTATGACGTTTTAACATAGATCGATATTCAGGAAACAGTGAAAGCCTATTGGGATAGCAATTGGGATAAATTAAATGAAGCTGGGTTGGTGTCCGAAAATGATTATTGTAAAGGAAAGAATGATTACGGTGATGGTGGAATTATATTTGGTTTATATTTAGCGCCAAAACCATTCCTCGACACTTGAAAAAGGATAATATTTCGAAAACCGGTTCGTGTCAATTGCGTAAGTTTTTGTTTTACTTGTTATAATTTTTCACATTGTTAGCGTTATTTATCACCTAAATATATATTTTTGCATTTTTCATCATAACTTTCATCTTACTTTATATATCCCCAAACCCAGTTTGACTTATTTGCATAATTTGATCCCCACATTTTCACGCTAGCATATAAGTTTCCTCCTGTTACATCCGCTGTACATTCCCTTCCTAACCATTTTCATTATGCTCCCCAACTACAACAACCACTGGCAAGAAACCAGACATAGAAACACTAATCGTCAACCAAACTAATATCACGTACCCTACAACGGCCCCGTCTTCCATCGACCTCTACCACCTACCAATCGCCGACCACCAACCAACCCATCCAGCAATATCCCACCCTAAAGAATGATTACGGTGATGGTGGAATTATATTTGGTTTATATTTAGCGCCAAAACCATTCCTCGACACTTGAAAAAGGATAATATTTCGAAAACCGGTTCGTGTCAATTGCGTAAGTTTTTGTTTTACTTGTTATAATTTTTCACATTGTTAGCGTTATTTATCACCTAAATATATATTTTTGCATTTTTCATCATAACTTTCATCTTACTTTATATATCCCCAAACCCAGTTTGACTTATTTGCATAATTTGATCCCCACATTTTCACGCTAGCATATAAGTTTCCTCCTGTCACGTACCCTACAACGGCCCTGTCTTCCATCGACCTCTACCACCTACCAATCGCCGACCACCAACCAACCCATCCAGCTATATCCCACCCCATCGCCGACCTACCTACAACACCTACCAATCAAGAGGTAACCATCGACCTGACCAACAACAGAAACGACTACCAGCCCACCGACGCCAACCAGTCCCCACTCATAAGGAGGAAGAACCCTTTGTGAAGGTGTTCCTCCAATTTTTGCAGTGCCTCCATCATTTGGCAATCCTTACTTTTCAACAGCAAGGCGTTTACCAGCGTTTACCTTCAAACGCAAAGTCTCTGAGTTGGATAGTTTTATCCGTCCAGCAATGAAAACATCAGCTGTTGACGCTAATATTAGATCCCTCAATCGGACATGGCTCTCTAAGGTTACGCAGGTCCTGATCGACCATTACCAAACCACACTTCAAGAGAAGCTGACCACCATTCGTACCAAGTCTTTATCATCAGCTGCCGTCGACCGCATCGTTTCTCATGCCCTGTCCTGGGCCCGCCGCTCCTATGGGAAACTTACTCTAAGCTGTAATCACCAAGTTCTACCAAACAATCAACGAAACAGAAACCAGAGTAACCATATCTCTACCAACTGAAATGGACACTACACCTGCACCATCTAGAGCCACGACGCTGCCGAACCAAACCCCTAAATGAGCCCGAAGTTCACCTACTCCTAGTCCAGCAGACATGGGTAAACACTCTCGTAGAGAGGGCACTCCCCTTCTCTTTTCACTTTCAGACTCGTCTTCCCCTTCCACACCATCTGAATCTTCACCACGTGATCCAGGATCCGCCAACCTATCTTCCTTCTGTGCGTTTTTGGACCAGCAAACCACCCTTCAGTCTCCATCGAAGTCGAGACGTATATCCAGACCTCCCCCCCCCTCGAACCAGATCCCAGTCCGTTCCCAATGCTACAATTCTAAAAACTACCAAACCAGTACCAATCACACCGTCGACGACCATTATATACGCTACCAAACCGTATTATCACCAAACCAAGGACAAATCATTATGGAAGCTACCCGCTCTAAAGAAATCTACCTTAATTATTGGATCATCTAACCTGAATCGAATTACCAAAACCAGTTCAGACACTGAAATACATTCTTACCCCGGTGCCCAAATCCATCACATACAGTCAATCCTGGAATCATACGACCATGATCCCAAACCTACTACCATTATTCTTCATGTAGGCCTCAACAACCGTGATCAGCTACCAAAGACCTCCTTTAACCAAGCCCAGAAATTAATCGCCACAGCCAACAAAACCTTCCCAAACTCCAAGATCCTCTTCACATGTATACCCATTTCAAATAAAATCTCGAAGAAAGCACAACAGAACCTCAGCACTCTCAACAACATGATGATGGAGTCCAGTATCAACAGCGCAACAATCTTACCACCCTACGAAGAAGAATTCGAACCAGTTGATAATCTTCATTGGTCTCCAGAAACAGCAAACAGCATTTATTTGTTTTGGATACACCAGCTTCAAGCATCGAGTAAGTCTTTAAACTAATTACTGGGGATAAAAATACTGAGAGGCCACCGCTAGGCCAAACTGTAGTTAACTTGAGC